GCGCGCGCTCCTCGCCGTCGTCCGTCTCCTTGGCGTCCGTCGCGGCCTCCAGCTGCGATCTCCCAGCGTCGCCCGGCGACCCCTTCGAGCCCTCGGCCTCCTGCGAAGGCTGCCGGCTCCACGCTCGGGACTCCGCGCGGGCTCCTTGGAGGGAGACCGGCGCAGCCTCCAGGCCAGCGGCGCGCGCCGAGAGGCGAGCCTGCGGTGAAGGCCAGGGGCCGTTCAAAGACTCCGCCTTCTGCAGCGGTGGCCTCGAGCCCTCCGCCTCCTGCGGTGGCTGCTGGTCCCACACGGGCTCTGCGCCAGCCGGCCGAGTGGAGTCCGACGCAGCCTCCGACCCGGCGACTTGCTCAGAAAGGCTACCTTCTGGCGGAAGCCGAGCAGTGGTCAAACGATCCATCTCATGAGGCGGCTGCCTCGGGCCCGCGGCCTCCTGCGGCGGCGGCCGGCACCGCGCAGGCCCTCCGCCGGCCCGCGGAAGGAAGCCCGGCGTGCCCTCCAGCTCCGCAGCCTGCTCAGGGAGGCCCGCCTGTGGCGAAGACTGGACGCAGGCCGACTGCTCCATCTCTGGCTGCAGCTGACTCACGCGCCCTGCATCCGCCAGCAGCTGCTCGCTCCGCGCTGGCTCCTCGGCCGCTCGCCTCTGCCCACCAAAGTCCAGCACGGCCTCCTCCAGGGCCGGGCGCCCCGCGGGGCCGCCCTGCAGCCGCCGGGGCGAGGCCCCCGCCTCCCGTGGCGCCTGCGGGCTCCCGGGCCGCTCCGCGCCGGCCTGCTGCAGCCAGCCCGGCGCGGCCTCTGGGAGGCCGCACCGCTTCACAATGCGGCAGGCTCGTGTCGTGATGGTGTTGACTACCTACCAAACCACCCCAACCCAGCCCGAAGACCCGAATTTCGGGTTGGGGCGGGTGTACGGGCTTCATGTGTGTTTTCTCCACGTTCCCCGACCCCCCCCAGCTGGACATGGAGGGCAAATTGGGGCCTTCGGGTTGGGTTGGGGTGGTTTGGTGAGCGGTGAGGTGTGCGCGTTGGTATCTGACACCGCGCGGAGCGACTCAGCCTCCTCCTCCTCCTCCTCCTCCTCCTCCTCCTCCTCCTCCTCCTCCTCTTCCTCCTCTCCTCCTCCTCCTCCTCCTCCTCCTCCTCCTCCTCCTCCTCCTCCTCCTCCTCCGCTTCACAGTGCGGCAGGCTCGTGTCGTGACGGTGTGCGCGTTGGTATGTCTGACACCGCGCGGAGCGACTCGGCCTTGGACGATCGTGGCTTCCCCGCAGCGCGGGGGTCGTCCGGACTCGGCCCGCCGCGGGCCGCTGCCGGGTGGCTCTAAGGCTGTGATTATCAATGTCCCGGGAAGACCGCAGCCCTAAGCATCTATCATTGCAATCCGGCTTCCGGAGACTTGCAATGCTCCCGGCTTCCGGAGACCCCAATGCTCCCGGCTTCTGGATACCCGTTTTTCCTTCTTCGTCGTCGTCGGCGTCGTCCCCAGAGGATTTGTTAACTCTGGTTTGCTGGCTCCGTTGCTTAACCAAGCATGCAGCCGCGAGGATTCCTTGAGTGGGTGAAAAGAAAGAAAATCCCCTCCTTCCTCCACCTCCTACCCCCTCCTTCCTCCTCCTCTTCCTCCTCCTTCCTCCTCCTTCTTCCTCCTTCCCCCTTTCCTCTTCCTTTTCCCTTTCTCCTCCTCCTCCTCCTTCCCCCCTGCCCCCCCCTCTTGAAGTCATACTCCTCACTATGCCCCCTGGCGCGTTGAGGCGTGGTAAATCCCATATCCCATATCCGGTTAGCCATCATCAGCATGAGGGTGGCTCCCTCCTCCTCCTCCTCCTCCTCCTCCTCATCATCATCATCATCCTCCTACCCCCTCCTTCCTCCTTCTCATTCTCGCCGCCTCCTTTTTTCCTTATCCTCCTCCTCCTCCTCCTCCTCCTTCTCCTCGTTATCCTCGTCCTCCTCCTCCTCCTCCTTCTCCTCGTTCTCCTCCTCCTCCTCCTCCTCCTCCTCCTCCTCCGCGTTCTTCTTCTCTTCCTCCTCTTCCTCCTCCTCTTCCGCCTCCTCCTCCTTTTCATGCTCATCATCATCCCCGTCATCCTCATCCTCATCCTCCTTTTCCTCTTCCTCTTCCCTCTCCTCATCCTCCTCTTCCTCATCCTCTCCTCATCCTCATCATCCTCATCCTCCTATTCCTCTTCCTCATCCTCCTCTTCCTCCTTCTCATTCTCCTCTTCCTCATCCTCATCATCCTCATCCTCATCCACATCGTCCTCATCCTCCTCATCCTCTCCCTCATCACCCTCATCATCCGCATACCCATCATCATCCTCATTTTCATCCTCATCATCCTCATCACCCTCATCCTCATCATCCTCATGGGGACGTTCAGAAACAAGTATTTGTCAGGTACCTGCGAGACCGCCGAAGGGCATACTGTCAGCAACTGAGCAAAACTCCGAGGTCTCCTCATCGTTCTCCTCCTCCTCTCCTCCTACGCCCGCAGGATAGCGGCGCCACGGGCAGCTAGAAGAGGAGGAAGGGAGGAGGAGGAGGAGGAGGAGGAGGAGGAGGAGGAGGAGGAGGAGGAGGAGGAGGAGTAGACCTCGAAGTTATGCTTAGTTCCTCGAAGTTTCGCTTAGTTCGTAGTTCCCGGGAAGAGGTCTAGGAGGAGGAGGAGGAGGAGGAGGAGGGGACCTCGAAGTTTTGCTCAGTTGTGGAGGGTGTGCCCTTCAGCGATCTCGCAGGTGCCTGACAAATATTTCTCTCTGAACGTCCCCATGAGGATGATGAGGATGAGGGTGATGAGGATGATGAGGGAGGATTGAGGATGGAGATGGGGATGAGGATGATGAGGGTGATGAGGAAGAGGATGAGGATGATGAGGATGATGTGGATGAGGATGAGGATGATGAGGATGAGGGAGAGGAGGATGAGAAGGAGGAGGAGGATGAGGATGAGGAAGAAGGGATGAGGATGAGGAAGATGAGGAGGAGGATGAGGATGATGAGGATGAGGAGAGGATGAGGAAGAGGAGGATAAGGAGAGGGAAGAGGAAGAGGAAGAGGAGCATGAGGATGATGAGGATGATGCGGCTGATGAGGAGGAGGAGGATGAGAAGGAGGAGGAGGAAGAGAAGAAGAATGAGCAGGAGGAGGATAACGAGAAGGAGGAGGAGAAGGAGGAACAAAAAGGAGGCGGCGGAGGAGGAAGAGGGGAGGGAGGAGGAGGAGGAGGAGGAGGAGAAGGAGGAGGAGGAGGAGGAGGAGGAAGGAGGGGGTAGGAGGAGGAAGGAAGGGACTCTCTTTTTCACCCACTCAGTCAATCCTCGCCGCCCGCGCGGCCCGAGGACGACGACGACGCCAACGACGACGACGACGACGACGACGATGGACGACGGGGGTAGGAGAGGATGTCAGATGAGGACGCGAGCGCACCTAGGCTTGTCCTCCTGCCCTTCGGGTCCACGAACAACGCCACTTGGCGGCTGTAGGGGGATAGAGTCGAGAAGGAGGAGGAGGAGGGGGACGAGGAGGAGGAGGAGGAGGAAGAGGGGGACGGGGAGGAGCAGGAGGAGCCGGAAAAGGAGGAGGTGGAGGAGGAGGGGTGTGCTTTGCTAGGGCTATTTTGCTGCTTTGCTTGTGCCCTGCTGCTTGCTCGTGAGCTGCTCATGCTGCAACTGTTGCTGCTGCTGCCTCTGCTGCTGGTGTTGCTCGTGCTTTGTGTTGCCTCGCAGTTGGCATGCCACTGTGCTGTGCTGCCTCCCTGCAGCCTTGCTTTGCTTGCTGCCGCTGCCATGTCGCAGCGTGCTGCTGCTACGTGCTGCTACCCTGCTGTGCTGCTCGTGCTGCTACCCTGCATGCTGCTGCTGCTACTGCTGCCGTGCTGCGTGTTTTGACGATGCGTTTTGTCATCGTTGTTCTGCGGTTTAGGCTTTGGGGTCGTCGAAAACAGGTCCGGGGGTCGTGGAAAACAGGCCCCTATGGGGCCCAAGTCATTGAAAGTTCAGGCGCCCTCCTCATCCTCCTCCTCCTCCTCCTTCTCCTCTCTCTCTCTCTTTCTCCCTCTCTCTCTCTCTACCTCACTCTCCCTCCCGCCTCCCGCCTCTTCCTCTTCTTTCTTCTTCTCCTCCTCCTTCTCCTCCTCTTCCTCTTCCTCCTCGTCCTCCTCCTCCTCCTCCTCCTCCTCCTCCTCCTCCTCCCCTCCTCCTCCTTGGAGGGCGTCTGAACTTATGGAGACAACGCATCGTCAACCCACCAGTTGGGCCCCCCTCTTCCCCCCCCCCCCGCACGCAGCCCTTGGGCCAAGGGCCCAATGGGCCGTCCGCGGCCCGCGGGCCGCCGCCGGGCCGCCCTCCTGGCGGGGCGCGGCATGGGGCTAGGACAGCCCGCGCTCGCGTGCATGAAGAGGAGGATCGAGGATGAGGATAAGGGAGGATGAGGAGGATAAGCAGGAGGAGGAGGGGATGACGGAGGGGAGGAGAAGCAGGAGGAGGAGGAGGAGAAGGAGGAGAGGAGAGAGGAGATCGGAGGAGGAGGAGGAGGAGAGCCTAGGAGGAGGAGGAGGAGGAGGAGGAGGAGGAGGAGGAGGAGGAGGAGGAGGAGGAGGAGGAGGAGAAGGACGAGGAGGAGGAGAAAGCGGAGGGGGATGAGGAGGGGAGGAGCAGCCTAGGAAGATGGAGGATGAGGCTCGAAGAGGACAACAAGGAGAAGGGCAACGCTAAGCAGGAAGAGGAAGCGGCAAATACAGTATCAGCAGCAACAGCGCAAGCCAGAGCAGCAACAACAGCATATGCATCAGTCACAACATCAAGAATCAGAAAAAAAACTAGTGAACGCATGTTGTATATCCCAGGCCCTCGATACCCGCCCTCTAACAACAGCGCAACTTGGGCAGAGTATAGCTGCCAATATCGGTCCGCCTCCTCCTCCTCCTCCTCCTCCTCCCGAAGCACTCCTCCTCCTCCTCCTCCTCCTCTTCCTCCTCCTTCTCCTCCTCCTCATCTCCCGAATTCCTGGCGCGAGACCCTGTGGATTCCGCCCCCAGCCGTTTGGGCTCCATGCATGTGCGCTGCTCCAGAGCAGCAAGGCCGCCGCCCCGCGTGCGTGGCTGCAGGGCACCTCCCCCGCGGCGGGCCCAATGGGGAAATGAGATGGGGTTTGTCTTTGCCAGAATTCGAAAAGCCCCCTGACCTTCTGAGAAGTCAGTTCTCAGAAGGTCAAGGGGGCTTCTCGGAGTCCCACGAAGACGAACTCATTGTCATTTCCCCCCTGGGCTCGCCGCGAGTCGACATGAGCGCCGCGTGCGAACTCATGCATGACTGGAAATCCACTGCGGGTCGCCGCACGGCGTGGACTCGCGACGACGTGAAGCGCGTCGCCGAGATGTGCTACAAGATCCTGCCGGCCGCGACCGTGAAGGCGCTCAAGGCTGGCAGGTTCAAGAAGGAGCACGTCTTCAGCCTTCAGGAGCTTTGGGGTGAGGAAACTACCTTCTCCCCTGTGTCCCCCTCCATCGTGCTTCTCCTTCCTTTCAATCCTCCGACGCGGAGGGCAAGAGGGTTAGAAGAAGCAAGGGAAGAGTGGATGGCAGGGGGAGGGGTAGAGCTAAAGGAGAGAGAGAGGAGGTGGGGAAGGGAGAAGGGCCTAAGGGGGAGACGGGGGAGAGGAGGAGGAAGGGAGGGGGAGGAGGCGGTGCAACCGAGGGGGAGGAGAAGGAGGAGGAGCAGAAGAATGAGGAGGATGAGGAAAAGGAGGAGGAGGAGAAGGAGGAGGAGGAGGATAAGGAAGAGAAGGGAGTGGGAAGGAGCGAGGAGGAAGAGCGCTGCTTCCCGAGGATCCGGCGCGCAACAATGTTGTGAGCAAGGACCTCGAGGCCAACGAGCCGTTCGTCGAAGCTGCTCTCAAGGTCGCGCGCTTCAACAGCGCCTTCTTCATGGCCGACTGTTTGCTGTTGCTTCACGCGTGGACCAAGCGGGGTCTGCTACGCGGAGAGACCGACGGCGAGCTGGCCTATGCTGCGCTGCGGGAGGGCAAAGTGTGGCTCAAGCTCCTGCAGTACCTGTCGCTCCGCACCGGCAGGTCGTCGCAGAGCCGCGGATCGATGACGGTCCAGAGGTTGAAGCGCTTGCACCTGGAAGCGACGCCGATGAAGGCAGGCTCTCCTGGGAAAGGTGCGCGGGCTGCAGCAGGGGGGGAGGATGGCAGCGAGAGCTCCGTCGTCAGCAGTGACAGCAGCTCGGTGGTCAGCAGCGACTCGGAGGCAGATGACCTGCAGGCCGACATGGAGAGCAGGGTCATGATGGGCGAGGCCGTCGAGGACGAGGACTACGAATCTGATGACGGCATTCGCTGTGAGCAATACGACCGCGGCTTGCAGGTCACGAGTTCGCAGTTTGGCGACGATCCAGCTATCTTCGAGGTCGAGGCGCTGCAGCAGAAGGCCGATGAAGATCCCCCTGCAGAGCCAGTCGCCGACTCTGCAGCTTCCGAAGGTCCTAGTGGTGATGAGGATTGTTCTGCTCTCTGCAGCGAGGGGTCCGAGTCAGAGCTGGACAAGCTCATCCCGGCGAAGCCCGACGACGCGGAGGACCTTCACTTCGAAATCATCTTAACCCTCCCCCACCCTCCCTCAACAGGGAGGCTGAGGAGGGGATGGGGATAAGGAGGAGGAAGAGGATAGCAGGAAGAGGGGGGGAGGAGGAGGAGGAGGAGGAGGAGGAGGAGGAGGAGGAGGAGGAGGAGGAGGAGGAGGAGGGGGAGGAGGCGGGGCGCGAGGAGGAGGGAAGAAGGCAAGGAGGACATAAAGAAAAGGAGGAGGAGGAATGAGTAGGAGAAGGAGGAGGGCAAGGATGAGGACTGAGATGGGGATGATGGGGGGGGGAGGGATAGTTTGAGAGAGAAAGCAAGGAAGGGGCGGGAGGAGGGATGAGGACGGGGGTGGAGGGCGAAAAGGAAAGGAGGAGGAGGAGGAGGAGGACAAGGAGGAGGACAAGGAGGAGGAGGAGGACAAAGAATGGTCAGGGTGGCGCCCGCCAGGATCTGCGCGACCCGAGCATGAGCTTCCAGACCCCGGACCCGAAGAGGCCTGCTGTGCTCTCTGCTGGCACGCCGTCGCCGCCGATCACCTTCGCCGACCTCGAGGGTCATGGTGCGATCAAGGCGAGGGGCAAGGCCAAGGGCAAGGCCAAATGCAAGGCCAAGAGCAAGCCTAGAGCGGAGCCCGCGGCCGGCTTGAAGAGAAAGTTGGCCTCCTTCAAGGTGCATCGTGGCGACAAGAAGAAGCAGGTGGCCACTGCGGAGGACGCAGCTGACGCGGCGGCGGTGGTCACGGAGTTCGCCTCGCAGTTCCACGAGTTCGACCTTAGCGAGATGAAGTTGCCGAGCATGGCTCGCCCGCCTGCTGAGGTGGTCGGCTCCTTCCGTGGCACGCAGAACTACACGGTGTACGCCAAGAGTGGTGCTGTCATCAATGTTCTTCTGAAGGTCAAGGCGTTCCGCATTTTGCAGAACCCGTTGCCGTCGGCGCCGGCCTGCCCGAACTTCGGCTGGGCCAAGCACGGTGGCGTCGAGCAGGCTTGGGACACGTGCTCCAAGGCTTGCGGCTTCGACGTGCCAATCGTGAGCAACTCTCGGGCCTCTTAGTGAGGCGCTGTGTGCATGTTGCAAGCTTGCTACGTGGTGTAGCCAGCATGGGGCTCGCATGACGAGCGCGCATAGCTTCTTCATAGTGGGAGACGTGCGATGATCGCAATCTCCTAACGCATGGGAAGAAGGAGGAGGAGGGGAGAAGGAGGAGGAGCAGGAGGAGGAGGAGGAGGAGGAGACGGAGGGGGAGGAAGAGGCGGAGGAGGAGGAGGCCGGGGAGAAGGGGAGGAGGAGAAGGAGGAGGATAGGGGGAACGAGGACGTGAGAGGATGCAGGCTAGACCATGCTTCAGATCGACAGCACGTTTCGTTGCATTGCTGCCAGCGCGTGGGGCGCGCTTCCAGCTTAGAACTCTCGCGAGTTACGAATCGAGGAGAGGCAAAGAGAAGCGATGGGGGGCGGCGCAAGGTCCTACTGGGCCTTCGTCCGAATCCTGGCGTAGGGCGGGTGCGGGGTGATTGGGGGCCCCTCCCCCTCCGCCTCCTGCTACTCCTTCCCCTCTGTCTCCTCCTCCTCCTCCTATCGTATCCTTCTCCGTCTCCTCCTCCTCTTCCATCTCGTCCTCCTCGTCCTCCTCCTTCTTCTCCTCGCCCTCCTCCTCCTCCTCCTCCTCTTCCTCGTCCTTCTCCACCCACCCCGCACCCCCCAAGACGTGCTTCAAGAACGATTCGTGATTCGTCTGTGCTTGGCCTGCAATCGCTGCTATTTAGTGCCAAGGGCTTCAGCATTTTCAGGGTCGTCACCACCCGGACCTCATGCACGAGGTACTGACCACCGATGTTTCCACCATGCTCTCCCTCGCCGCCTCGCGCCTTTCGAGGGCGAGGGCAGCCCGTGGGAAAAGCATGGTGGACACATTGGCGGTCTGAACCTTGCAGCGATGCCCAAGCGTCGCCGCCGCCGCAGGGGCAGCGATGGCTCCTCAGACAGCGCTGTCCAGAACGTGCCTGCACAAGTGCAGACCCAGCAGGCCATTTGATATTGAAATGTCCCCGTCCCCCCCCTGCCCCGCCCCCTACGCAAACGCAGCCCGACCTTTGGGGGGTTCCCGATATCCCCGAACCCCAGAAGTATAGACAAAAAACAAACATGTAAGACCTGCCCACAGATGCCCGCGGCGCTCGTGAAACTCCTGGAGACGCTCATCTTTATCGGGGCCCCTGGGATGCTGATTCACTCGTTGCCGCGCTTCTGGGCTGCGTTGTCGGACGCCGGAGGTCCTGGGAGCATCTTCTTCTTGGAAACGTTCGCTGGCCATCGAGAGGTCGGGGGGAAGAGGAAAACGATCATGATGACGATAATGATGAGAAGGCGGAGGCGGGGGAGGAGAAGGGGGGGGAGGGGGAGAGATGGTGCCCCCCTCAGGTCACTAAGGCATACAAGAGGTCTGGAAAGCGAGCTGTCGCATACGAGATTGGTGACAACAGAGAGCTCTGTGATATGGTCGGGGGCTGTGGGTTCGCAGCTGCCCTTTTGCTTGTGCTTGCCATTGCAGATGACGGCGGCTTCTTCGCGGCCCCAGTGTGCTCGTCGTGGGTGTGGTTGAATCGTGGCACCAGCCGGAGAGCGATCTATTCGCCGTTGGGCGATTCGTCTGTCGTGCATGTGGATGCTGCTAATATCATGGTGTCGAACGTTGTGTTGTTGTGCTACGTGGCGTCCGCCATGGGCTTGTTCTGGACGATTGAACAGGTGACTGGTTTGTTTGCGTTCGTGTGTATGGTGGGGTATCTTGGTCGCCTAAGCCGGTTCGCGTCGAAATTATTGAGCTAAGCGTTGTCCCATCGTATTAAAATCGGGGCTGGACAGAACCCCCAACAGTGACACGTCGATTAGTGAATTGTCCTTTTTTCGGTTCTTGAGAGGGCGCCGTGGCCGTCATTTTCCAGGCTTGCGCCCGCCAGGTTTGGGCCTCAGGTCGTTTTCACTAAACCACGTTTTGCTAAAGGGGGTCTGTCCATCCCCGATAAAAGCGGCTTCAGCCCTCTGGATCTCTTCTCCAAGACCATCCACGTTTCAATGATCTCATCGCGACCTTGGATGTGTGGCGGGCTAAGTTGTGGATGGGCGACTTCCTTGCTCCGTCGGCTAAGCCCACATGGTTGTATTCAAATGCACCTTGGATCGGATCTATTAGTGATTACGCGCCAATTAAGACCTATGGGCGTGTGAAGTCAGGCGTTGAGATGTATCGGACTGTATCCCGAGACGATGGGTCGACCTATGTTGAGGGTGGGAAGGATTTGAAACGTTCGCAAGCGTATCCGAGGTCTTTCGGTTCGTGCTTTTGCCGCCTTCACGAAGATCATATAGATGATATCCGCCATGCGCGCCAGACGCTCTCCGATGCTGTTGCTGCGAATCGGCACTGCATCGAGCTGGCTGCTTGTTTGCAATCGCCGCCAGCAGATGATTGGTCAGATTCTAGTCTGGCCGACGCTGTGCGGCACGTGCAGACCGCCGCCCAGTAGTAAGGAGGGTGGGAAAGCGGAGGAGGAGGAGGAGGAGGAGGAGGAGGAGGAAGAGGAGAAAGAGCAGGATGAGGAGGAGGATGAAAAAGAGGAGGAAGGAGTAGGAGGAGTAGGAGGAGGAGGAAGAGGAGGAGGAGGAGGACAGCATGCCCGGCACAAGCTTGCAATCTGTGCTACGCTGCCCATACTGATGGGCGTCTCGCGCTTCGTGGTAAAGGCAATCGCCGTCGTCAACGTCGTCGTCGTCATCGTCGCCGAGCCCATGCCGAGTTGCACCCGCGCTGCAGTGGGCTGTGAATCCTGGGCGTGTTTTTTTCAAGTTTTCAGAGCGTGAGTTACCTACCC